TAATAGTATTAAACAACTGCTTTAAAAACAGCTTCTGATTGCAAGATTCCATCTTTAGAGATGCAAAATGATGAACTACAACTTCATTTTGATTGTGTCATAAAACTGCACCAATATTGCCAGTAACTTCTTGAGCATTGCTAGTACCACCAAATTTAGAGAAAATGGAGTCCTTTAAAGTTTTAATGATATTTTCCTTAATAGTTTTGCGAGCCCATATTTCATCTTATAACATGCAGTAGTCCTGGACATTTCCAACGAGTTTTAGTGCCGTCTGATCGGGCGCAAAACTGTTTGCAGAGTTCAATAAATTGGGAGCTACATTGAAAGAAAAAAGAATTCTCGGCGATAAACGAAGTTATTAATACCTCTTGGTGTGCTTTTCTTTTCACTATATCCACTGGCCGAGCATCAGTCTCCAGTAAGTCATCAGTATTTTTTGAATTAGCATAATTACTACTTAAAGTCATTGAATGTCTAATGCACTTTGAATATTTATGTGCGTCACGTTTTAGAATGATTTGTGAAAGCCTTGAATCCTTCCCCACCATACTCAGCAGTGAGTTACAAAAAACACAATATGCTTGTCCAGCAACATTTATTTTCTTGCACCATGTGCCAATGGTATCCCCATTACCATCTCTCCGTTCAATCAAATTCGGTTGATCTTTACAATATGGTAACCGGTAGTTTGGCGACATTTTGGAGACGATAAAGGTTACTACCTGGGACTTTGGTAATAATGTGAGCAGTACTCAGTTCCGATTACGCATTATTTTGTATGAGGGAAATGAGAGATCATGGGATATGTCATGTGATATTAATGGACGAATTACGGTTCTTTAATCGGAAAAGGGGGGAAATCGGGAAAAAATCTGGAAATTTTGTATTTGGCTTTATTCTGTGTTATGTGAAACAGTGTTCGTGAATTTTTGGATCCCATGGCCGTCAACTAAAGTGAATTCGAAATGGGTATTTATGTATGTATTAATTTAATGTATGTGCTCATTTATATTTTAAGTAGTGTTTTTGAATTTAATATATTTTAATTAAATGATAGTTATTTTGTGAACTTTTATGTTTGTAGGAATTTGGTATATGTTTTAAGTTGAAGTAAACGTGCATGGAAATAATTTAAATATTTGATACTAAGTATTGTAATGCTTGCGGTATGAATTCGTTGGTGACGTTGTATAATGTAATAGATGATTTAGAGGTAAAAGTTTTTGGATATTTATTTATTTTATATGTGGAAATGTTCATATTTGGAAAGGGTAAATACTTTTTCACGATCAGGTAATTTCATATATGTTCTTTTTACCGGGTTTAAAGATTGAGAAAATTGTCATGTATTTTCGTGAAATTTTTCTAATTTATGAGAAAAAAGCAGTGTACATGGATATAGTGAAAAGTGTGCGCAATGCCATTTTTGTGCAATTCTGGGATGTTTTTTTAAGTAAAAATAAGTCGACGTGTACATGGTTTAGTGATATTTTAATTAAATGATAGTTATTTTGTGAATTTTATGTTTGTAGGAATTTGGTATATGTTTAAGTTGAAGTAAACGTGCATGGAAATAATTTAAATATTTGATACTAAGTATTTGTAATGCTTGCGGTATGAATTCGTTGGTGACGTGTATAATGTAATAGATGATTTAGAGGTAAAAGTTTTTGGATATTTTATTTATTTTATATGTGGAAATGTTCATATTTGGAAAGGGTAAATACTTTTTCGCGATCAGGTAATTTCATATATGTTTCTTTTTACCGGGTTTAAAGATTGAGAAAATTGTCATGTATTTTCGTGAAATTTTTCTAATTTATGAGAAAAAAGCAGTGTACATGGATATAGTGAAGAGTGTGCGCAATGCCATTTTTGTGCAATTCTGGGATGTTTTTTTTTTTTAAGTAAAAAATAAGTCGGCGTGTACATGGTTTATGTGTATGTGTTATTTTGAAAAAATGCGTAAGGAGTATGGTATTGTGCACTTTTTCCCAATTTTGCAGTGAATATTTGTCATGATTAAGCAGTTTTGTTAGATAAAATTTCTAGCATAAGTGTAATTCGGCTAGTAGATTGTTGGAAGAAGTGTTCAGTAGATAAAAAGAAAAGAAACATGTCTTTAATTCGTGAAGACAAAATGGCGGCGGGAAAAAAAAATAGAGGGTTGCTGCAGGAGAGTTGGTCGCCAAATTTTCGCCAAGTTACCATAATGTAAAGATCAATCTCAAATTCCACCTAAATGCATTCCGGACACCTTCTTCTAATTGTATAATATCACTATTTATATCAAGAAATTTCTAGTGAAATCTCTGGGTAAAAAAAAAAAATTTCAATAAACAAATGAAAAATTTACACGTGCACTAATAAATGAAACGAAAATTTTACACAGCGGAGGAAAAAAGTGAGAAGCGATCATGACAAATAGCTAATATGGCAAAAAAATCCCCTTCTCTACTTATTGGCGCCACTCCAGGAGAGATAAGACCTTTGAACCCAGAGTCACGTGATCGCACATCTGGTCGAACGAAGTCTCCCCTTTTTTTTCTGCCACCTACTTGCCAAAAAAGAATCCAGAAGAGAATGTCCGAGAACCGGGGGAAATGAGTCATAACTCGCAATAAGGAAAGAACAAAAAAAGAAGTTTTTTTCCCCCTTTTCACGCATTATCACTGCCTTTGGAGAAAGAAAGGAAAAGTTTTCACCACACACACTGACCTTGCATTTTCTGCTTTCAAAGCAAACAAAATTACCCAGATCAAAATAAATAATTCATTATTATTCCTACTTCCTTTTGAACGACGATCCCTGGAATTTCCGGGTATCAAAGTTCAAAATCCCCGGAATTCCGAAGTTTCCCCGGAGCACAAACACCCCTGACATGGACAAAGTAAAGGGAGTGCAAAATGCAAGTTTGTACAATTCTGGGATTTTATTTAAGTGAAAATATGTCGACGTGTACATGGATAAAGTTAAAAGAGTGTGCAATCCGGGGATTTTTTTTTAAGTGAAAATAGGTCAACATGTACATGGATAAAGTCAAAAAAGTGCACAATGCCTTTTTTTTTTTTTTTAGTGAAAATAAGTCGATGTGTACATGGATACCGAGTCTGCGCAATTGTTTGTCTTGTGTAGCATTTGTGCAAATTTGTTTGTGCAATTTTTGGCTTTGTGTAGCGACGATTTTCGCAAGCCAAAATAACAAGTCAAAGAACTGCACAAAATCGATATCGATGTACCGCCAAAAATCGCCAAGGGATACCCTAAACTATACTTTTACCCAAAAAAGTTACATATATATTATTGTTTACATACATCGCTATTTAAAAACGACTCATATTTGTTATAAGAGAAAGAAAATTCAGGCTATGAAAAGTTAAGCATATGACGATATTTTTTTTTTTTACCCAAGTTACATTATTCACAAATGACGATATGGAAGCACATCCGCAGAGAACCCGGTAAATGTAAACATCGCCAACTTTGGCGATAATAGTTCAAACCTGGTAACTCATCGGATATATCCCTTGTTCGAAGTATGCAACCACTCCTTTTGCGTTTATTTTGTTGAATTATCACTGTCTTTGTTCGCATTTGCAGGTTTATATTATTCTTCTCTTATTTATTATTAGTTTTTCTGAATTCTTTAACAACGAATAAATAGAAATATTTTCGTAGATAGATGCCGGTTCTCGGTTCGGGATGAAAGGAGGGGTGAATGCTAATTTGTAACACGGCTGTTCACGTTGTGTTCTTAATTATGAACAGCTCTAAGAACCATGAGGTTTCCAACGTCTAAAGTAATTTGTTTTCGTAGACCGCAAAAATGTGCATTTTAAATAATTAAGTAATGCTTTTATTTTTATTATTGGTTATTGTCATCTAAAATTCTGAGAATAAATTCATTTTTATGGCGTAAAATTTAAACAAGATAATATATTGTTAATGCTTTTCTAACAATAACCTTTCAGAGGATGGCAGGTGTGACATAAATAGATGATTAAATTGAAATAAAAAAATATTATTGATTATCTAGGATGACAGAATAGTTTGATGCATCACCATGGTCATCAAAATTAGCAAACCACTGCTGCAGTAAGGAATATATTGTTTTCTGTGTTAACTGGAATTTAAGACAAATTTTTTTCGTATGTCACGTTTAACCGGTTAATTTCAGTATATTAATACTAATTTATATTTTAAATGAATTTTTATTTCCGTTATAAATGCTCTTATGCAAAATATATTCTTTTCTGTGCTAACTTGAATTTAATACAATTTTCGTATATCACGTTTAACCGGTTAGTTTTACATCTACATGCTTATTATCTGTGAATTTTTACTACAATATGCTTAATACATTGTTTTATCTGCTAACTTGAATTTACATGCACTAAAAATCACGTTTACGGCTCGGATTATCATCGATGAACCGCGAGCTTGGCGAGTAAAAATGCAACGGCGCCAACGGGTTCTTTCCCGAAGCGCCAACGGGTTCTTTGCGGATGAAAACCCGACGATATTTTTTTTTTTTACCTAAGTTACGTTATTCACAAATAAATATATTGTTAAAGCTGTCCAAATACCAAAATTAGAGACTAAACATTACAATATTCTTATATATATTCATCACTTTTTCAGTATCCACACATGTTTATATTTCAAAATCAAAGCTATTTATGAAATAAAACCTTATAAAATCTGATAAATCATTTGTGTGTGCAAATTTTTAAATCTAAATAACTTACATTAAATTATTTCTGTCTTTTAAATTACATCCCATTATTTGTTTCAATTTAATTTAATAGTTGATGTAATCGCTTTTAACTTATTTCATGTCTAAATCTTCTACACAGAAATCGTCTGTCTAATTTTAATTATCTTTTCTCAGACAACTTTTAAAGCGGAATGAACTAAAGTCTTGATTGGGCAAAACACAGCTTTTATAGATAATATATTCAAAGATAAAATTAAAGAATACAAATATTTTCTAATACCTGTAATTATACATGAAAAATACAATCAAATTTTACGATAAATGTTTGTTTTCAGCAAAAAGCATTGTTAGAGTTGAGACGTTCATCTCTTCTGTTACCTGAATCTATTTAGTGATGTGGCTGTGCATCATTCAATAATGTAATAGTAATTTTTTTTCCTCCTACGGCGAGCACCGCAGTGGTTAATCGCACCGACGGTGTGAATAGCGTCACCTATGTTCGCGCATGCGCACAATCAGCTCATGTACCAGCATTTTAAGCCGATTTCCGTAAGGCAGGCGGTAGCGAGACCGAAGGTTTTTAACCCTAACTCAGCAATAGAAAGGCGTTGTTAATAGTTCAGCAAGAGAATAATTTGCAAGTACGAGTAATAATTATCAGTTACAAAGAGGAGGTCAATCTATATACATCATAATGTTCAGAAAATGATTAGATGAAATAGGGATTTAATGATGGTTATAATTGCAAGCGAAGACATGAGTTAAAAAATCTTTAATGTCTTGACAAAAAAGTTACAGAAATTACTTAAATTCTTTTATTTAGCTGAGAAATTTTTATGCAAACTTAGACCCTAGTTTTATAGCATAGGACTGTCAGAATTTATTATTAAATAAGAAAACTTACTAAACATTACAATATTCTTATATATTCATCACTTTTTCAGTATGCACACATGTTTATACAGTGTCTCAAAAAAGTGATGGGACACTTGTGCTTTACAAAAGGAAACTGCAAAAAATTAAATTTATAAAACATGTAACATTTTTTGTGGGTGTGTTTCATACTTAAATTTAGTAACAATTATTACATAACATACATTTTCTGGTTTAATCCTAGTATCCGGTGCACTAGGGATTTGGCGACTTTTATGATGAACAGTAAAAACGGGACATATACGATGGGTAGTAAACGGGTCATTCAAAGAATATATATAGTTATACATTTTATATACTATGTAGTACTTTAAATTTAAATTTCATTCCTTGCAGCAATGGCGCAAAGAATATTTAATTAAATATGTATTTAAATTTAATTTTTTTAATTAAATTCAATTTATTCTTATGAAACAATAATGTATAGTATATACATAGACGTTCTTTGGGTCATTTTTGGTGTTGGCGATAATTTTCAAAATCGCGCCAAGGCTGCACCGTATACAAGGATTTACCCATTTTCTCAAAATATTAAAATATTAATTTAATAGAAAATACAATTGTTTAGAACGGAGCAAGAAAATGGCTCACTTAAGTGATTGGGATACTCACGTAAGTGATGGGGCATTTACTTTTCCATCAAATATTTATCCAAAAATTTTACTTTTTAAAAGGTTTTAATATTTTGTTGTATTTCCTTTTACTTTTAAAAACATGAATTTAATTCTTCTTGGGATGGATTTCGACTCATTTTTTGTGATTTCTGGAGTGATTTTACCCCATTCTTCTTGAAGCACCGATTTTAATTGTTGTTTTGAAGAAATGGTGTGTGCGAATTCTTGCCAAATATTCTCTATGGGATTTAATTGTGGGGGTGTTTTTATTATTCCAGGACAGTTATACAGCAGCCAGAGTCTAACGTTCAAAGCACTGTGCTTGGGGCCATTGTCCTGGTAGAATTTAAAATCGTTATGAAGGTTCAATTTTCGTGCTGAAGATTTCAAATTTTGATTTAAAATGTCAATATACTTGTACTGATCCATTATACTGTCAATAAAAACAAGATTACCAACTCCAGCGGACGACATACACCCCCATACCATAATCCTCCTCCACCATGTTTTACTGTTGGCACCAAGTTCTGTTTGCGAAATTCTTCCCTGTGTTTTCTCCACACCAAGATTCTACCGTCAGAACCAAATATATTAAATTTGCTCTCATCAGCAAATATAACTTCATTCCAGTAATCAGAATTCCTTATTTATGTTGGATTTTGCGAAAGCCAGTCTGAGTTGTCTATTCTTTTCACTTCAACGAAGAATTTTTTCCTGGCTGCTCTACCGTGATATCCAGCAGATCGAATTACTCTTCTAATAGTCCTCAGGATTAACAATTACTCCATATAATGCTTGTAAATCAGACAGCAACTTTAGGAGCACTCATTCTTGGAGTTTTTTTTTAATATTTCCGAAAAGATAATTCGCTTTATTTCATTGGATAGCTTTGATGGTCGGCCAGGTCTTTTTTTATCCTGAATCATATGATTCTTTTTATATTGTTTAATGATAGAGAAAACTGCTGAATGACTTAAGTTAACTGTTTCAGCAGTTTCTCGAATAGATTTTCCAAGTTCAATATGCAAAGTAATAACTAATTTTCGAATTTCAGGCAAAGTTTCTTTTCGTTTAGCATTCATGGCTGCACAGAGCTAAAAAACACAAAAAATTCCAAAACAAACTGGAGAGAAATACTACAGACGATTTTATAAATTATTGCCAATTGCTCTTGTGTAAAAATAAAAAACCCCCAAAATATTTTTATTGTAGTACGTAACATTATCTAATGGTGTCCCATCACTTATGTGAGCCATTTTTTGCTCCGTTCTAAACAATTGTATTTTTATTAAATTAATATTTTAATATTTTGAGAAAATGTATGTTATGTAATAATTGTTACTAAATTTAAGTATGAAACACACCCACAAAAAATTTTACATGTTTTTTAAATTTATTTTATTGCAGTTTCCTTTTGTAAAGCAGAAGTGTCCCATCACTTTTTTGAGACACTGTATTTCAAAATCAAAGCTATTTATGAAATAAAACCTTATAAAATCTGATAAATTATTTGTGTGTGCAAATTTTTAAATCTTATTACTAACTTACATTAAATTATTTCTGTCTTTTAAATTACATCCCATTATTTGTTTCAATTTAATTTAATAGTTGATGTAATCGCTTTTAACTTATTTCATGTCTAAATCTTCTACACAGAAATCGTCTGTCTAATTTTTATTATCTTTTCTCAAACAATTTTTAAAGAGGAATGAATTTAAGTCTTCATTGAGCAAAACACATGTTTGAAGCTAATTGTATTCTAAACAGTATAAAAAATGTAAACAAAATTTTGTCCCACCTAAACTATTCCAACCGTTCAGGAAAACGATAAACATTGTGAAGATAAAAATCTGCCCTTTTTTATATAAACTTTAATAAAAGGAAATGTGTTCCATCTTTTAAAATTTTGAAAAAAAGGAATCCATTTTCCTTTCTAAACTTTTGAATGTGGCCAACGCTTAAAAAATGATAAAGTACGCCGCCTTAAAAAAAAAAAAAAAAAAAAAGATTCACTACAACACTTAGGCAGTTTGCGTACGTAGAATCCGTTCTTTTCGATTGGGTTCAAATGACGGATCCGACAACTCAGTGCGCATCCGTGGTTAATGTTGGTGCGAATAGCTCAAGCGGATAATCGCACCACTGGTGCGAATAGCATCGGCCGGCGAGCAATTGCCTATAATACACACACACAAACAGAGATCGTATTTTATTCTTGAGTGTCAAGATGTAGAAAGTCAAGATGTGGGTAGGATGTCACATGGGTACCGATGTTTTTCACTCAGATGGGTGGAGTGTCTGAGAGTGCTAATAAGGCTATTAACTGAATGAAAGAAATTGACCGCTAATCATTTAATATACTCTTGAATAAGTCCGAATTGAAGGCCTCTGTGAATGTAGATGTTTCGAATATACCAAGGAGCATTGATAATTTCTCGTAGAATTTGTAATTCTTTAATATTGGTTTTAGCTGCATGTCCCCAGATCGGAACTGCATAAAGGATGGCTGGACAAAGTATGGAGCAATATAAAATTAATTTGTTTGCAGTAGGTCGCATAGTAGCTGTGGTGATTTTAAATTTTTGTACTACGGAGCGGAGGTGAGCCATTTTTTCAGTTTTATGAGATAGTTTTGGAGTTGGTTTCTTACGGCGATAACTGTGCAGGCTTTAGTAAGTATGGCGGTGTCATCGGCAAAGAGTGCAAGATGGACAGAAGGGTCTTTAGGGATGTCTTGTGTTTAAATATTAAAATGGTACGGCGAAAGTGCTGACCTCTGTGGGTCACCAGCATTGCTTACTCTGGTGGTTGAGTAAGCAGTACCGATTTTGATTCTGAATGTTCTGTTGCTAAGAAAAGAGGCTATTAAGCGAATAAAATGATCTGGAAAATTGAGAGTGATTAGTTTATAAATAAGGTCTCGATGCCATACCCTGTCAAAAGCTTTCGCGATATCGAAGAATGTAGCACAGGTCGGAAGCTTGCAGTTGTAGCCTTCAGTGATAATGTTGATAACTCTAAAAAGTGTGTGGCAAGTGCTATGATGATTACGAAAACCGAATTTTTCTTCTGGGAGAAAATTCATGGAAGGGTAATTTTTTGGATGTGGAAAAGTAGGATTTTCTCAGTAACTTTAGACAGATGGCTAAGTAAACTGATAGGGCGATAGTTCTGTGGGAAGGTTGGATTTTGTTGCGGTTTAGCGAAAACAATTATTATAGCTTGCGTCCATGAGTTAGGAAAATGAGAGTATTTGATAATGTTGTTGATTATCGTTAGGCAGGTAAGAGCGTGATCGAAGAGTATCTTCAGTTGCTTTGGTCGAAGATGCCATCGTGCCCTGGGGCTTTTCTTCGTTTGTAAGGAGCTGCTTGGTGTTGGCAACGATTGTTGGGGTAGTCAGAAAGTGAAGTTGTACGGAGCAGGGGTATTAAGGAAGTTATTGACCACCAGGCTGCCCGTTGAATATGGTTATTGTCGTACGGAGTGGGATTAAGAGTGAATGTATCTTCCATATAGTCCGCGAAAGATTTAGCTTTATCTTCTGTATATGGAATTCCACTAGGTCCATGGATAGGTGGGATAGGTTTATAAGGTTTCTTGAATTTGGGGGAAATGTCAAATAGGGAATTGTCCTCTATAGCTAGGTTATTTAGGAAATTGGTCTATTTTTTGGTTTTTGAAGTTCTTGATTCTTTTGTTGATTTCTTTGTGCATAGAGTTTAGATCGCGTTTGAGTTGTGGATCTCTGGTGATTTGCCATCTTTTACGGATCCGGTTTTTCTCTTTAATACATTTTCTTATATCGGCAGACAGGGGGAGGAAAGGCTTGTTTACATAAAAAGTACCGTTGGCTTCCTTTAATCCTTTCAGCGTTACGAACGGATTTTTCCGTATCGAAAGATGGCTTTCAAAATCGTCACACACGGATTATTTTGCCACCTCTTGATGGGTCCGAAAGCGTTTCAAACGATTTTTTCTACCTTACATTTTCCGCCTCGAAATCGTTGAGGACGGAATATTCTGTACTGTCGTTCCTCCCCAACCTCCTGTTGTGGTTAATTGGGGGCGATCGTTAGAGAAAGATGTTACAATGGGAAAGTCATGAATAAAAACATCAACTCCGGCCATACCATCTGGGCGATTTTCGTGTCGAAACTGGAAAATACTGGAAAGCCTACGAAGGAAACTTCTGTGAATGCGAAAAATTTGCAAAGCAAAATTTCTTCTGCAAAAGTAAATGTAATTTGCACGGAACCCGTGAATAACTTTTAAAGAATTTAGCATCACCTAATTTACAAATAATTTCTTTTAGCATAGAATAAATACTTAAACAGGTGTCTTACAATGACTGTAGAAACAGAGAAATTTGATAAAATTTTATTTTACTGTGCGCACATTAAAAATACTGTTTTTTTTTAATACTATAACAGTTCACAAAGACAGTTACTTTGTAGTATATATTTTAAATATTGTTCTGAAATAAAAATGAGATTTAAAGAGTTTTCAAATCATGTAATTGAAGTATGGAAATTTATTATTGAATGAGGACAAGTGCGTTATTTAAAGAAAAATTTGTTAACTCTTCATTTCTCGTCTAAACGAACTACTAGAAATTCCTTGGCATGATATGAAAATCATTCGCAAATAATATCGTATTTGATTAAATCGCTTTTGGCGTTGATAAAATAAAGTACTGAAAATACATGCAATCGTATGATGCATTTTTTACCTTAAGCAAAATACTTTCATTTTACTGAAAGTGTTATCGAATGAAAAGGTCCAAATGATATTTAATTATGAATATTTTAATGTTGTGAAGATGTTTTTATTTCAAAATTTCAAAATGGTTGGAACATAAAATTCTCAGAAGGTAAGAGTAAATATTTATGAAAAATAGTTGTTAGTAGAAGGAAAGTGTAAATAACTTTTTATAAAATCGTCGCAATCATTATACGAAGGTGGAAAAAATATGATGGTAATCTGGGTGATGCAAAAAATTTCCGAAAAGGAAATAAGAATTTTCCGAGTCTTTGTCTATATCAAGATTAAAATGACACAATTAATGGAGATAAAGATAGACAACTTTAACTCATGGAAAACAATTTGTTATTAGGACTATGGTTAATTAATAAAACAAATGAGGGCTGTTCTGTAGGGAAGGGATGCCTTCTTGGAACACTTTTTAAGAAAACTGGCTCGTATTCACGTTAATGTGGGGAAAACTCAATTCCACATCAAACTACTAGTGTTCAGTAGAATAAATGTTTGTGTGTTCGGCCGCTAGTGGACGTATATTATAGGTAATCTGGGTGATGCAAAAATTTCCGAAAAGGAAATAAAATTCCGAGCTTTGTCTATATCAAGATTAAATGACACAAATTAGATGCTTAAAGATAGAAACTTTAACTTCATAGGAAAACAATTTGTTATTTACGACTACGGTTAATTAATTAAAACAAAGGAGGGCTTTCTCTGTATGGGAAGGAATGCCTTCTTGGAAGATTTTTTTAAAGAAAACTGGCTCGTATTCACATTACACGTGGGAAAACACAATTCCACATCAAACTACTAGAGTTCAGTGATGTTACTGCTCGGCCGCTAGTGGACATTATTTACGACTAAGGACTGATGAGATATGTTAAATTAGGTACTGATTACCATTTATTTTTATATTCATTAGTTAATACTTATGATTGGGGTTTTACTAAAAAGGCCAATATATGTATTAGTTCTTGAAATTAAGAACAAAATAGGTCTATTTAAAATTTAATATCTATGCTTCGTTTGAAATATTTCTTTTTGGTTTGGTTAGCTTGACAAAGCTCTCGAGGATTATCTGCCAAACATAGGATGCCTTCATGGAGAACTGTCTAAAAGAAATGGCTCCTATACATGTTATACATTGGAAAAATCATGAAAACATCCATGCAGCCAACCCGTTCGCTTGGATTCGAACCGAACTACCCGTGTTCAGCAATTTTACTGCTTGGCTGTTGGTGGGGCTATCACCTTTTGAGATAATTATCATAATATTATGTTTTAATAGGCATCAAAAACAATCTATACTTACTATTGTGATTTACATTTCCAGTGATGTTAATCTCATAATTAATACTCTTGTGTACTTGACGGCTCTGTGCACAAGAGCAGTAAAGTTTCAATCGAGGACTTTATAAGCGGAACTGTCTCATATCTACATTATACATGGGAAACCACCATAATTAATTTTGTAAGTAATTCAATTCATATATTGTATACCATGTATAGGAGCCATTGGGCTAAAGAATAGTCATAAAATAATAATACAGTCAAATACCGAAAATCCGCCGACCTGAAATATACACATTTAGTATATAGGTTCCGGAAACCGCAACATTGAGTACGAAATATCGAAGAAAAAAATACTTACCGAATAATAATGAGTCATAACAGAAATACCAAATTACTGACATATGATCAGTTTATCCCTCTAATCTGCATCGAGGTAAAAAAGCAGACGATTCACTCAACTCTTCTTTTAAGTTCCTGATTCACATTGTTATATTTTCTGAGCTTTGTTATTTTACGACATTATTTAGTGCTGCCTTTTTTTTAATCTGGATATTTTGTGGATAAATTAAGAATATTTTAAATTTCAGCCCTTTATAATACAATGACAGATAAGGGTAAAAGTTTACAATTGGGTGCCCATTGTTTCTTGGCAATTTTTTTTTTGATGCCAAGATCGGCGCCAGGAAGGCACAATTTCAAGATGGCTGCTACACACCACACACACACACACAAAAAAAAAAAAAAAAAAAAAAAAAAAAAAAAAAAAAAGAAAGAAAGAATTGCACAAACTAGGCATTGCACACTGCCTTAAGTTTGTCCATGTACAAGTCAATCTATTTTCATTTAAATAAAATCAGGAAGCTAAAACAAAGTTAAAACTATCATGGTAACCAGAAGTGAGGTTTCATCGCCAAAATTAAAAAAAAAAAAAAAAAAAAAAAAAAGTTAATTTGAGATTTGGGCACCCAATTCTACACTAGAGCCCAGATGGAAACTACACTAGAGGCAGAAGAAAGAAGAGCTAGATTCTACACTAGAGCCAGAAGAAATGCACTCATGATTTTGCTGCTTGCAACGTTGAGAAACGTAAACACGTTGCATTGATGATAATGCAAAAGATGGAGGCAGGTTCCACTCCTCGGTTTACAGCAGAATTGTATGGAATTGCGACACAATTGTGTATGATATATGGAAAAATAAAAAGCTGTTGAAATTTTACAGCAACAGCGATTCTAACACCGGAATCCGAAACCGGAAATCTTTGCATGAGGCGAAATCCGCAAACCTCGATGCTGTGTACATATAATACAATGAATAATATAATCAATTTATATATGTAATAATAAATTATTGCAATAATGTGTACAATAATTTAATTAAATGTATCTAATATGCCTTATTTATTTTGCACTTTTAGTCCAAATATTATGCTATATTTTTTCTGTCCTGAAATCCTAAAATCCGCACAACCTCTTGTCCGAAGCTTTGTGGATTTCTGGACTTTTACTGTAATCATATCATGTTTATGTTTTCGGAAGTACTATCCATTTTTGAGGTGGTTGTCACAAAAAAGTTCGCCCTACTTAGTAAGGTTTCACATATTAGAGATAAAATGTAAATTAAAATAACATTCAAATAGTAATAATAAAATATTTATTTTTTATTTACATATAACATAGCACTTCAATAAGCAATAATTATTGATAGTTTTAGCAGTTCTATATTCACAAAATTGGAAACATCAATTTTCCACTGCCACAGGTTTCGAAGAACATGCTTGTCGAACACTCATTTCCTGCAATATTAAATATAAATTTAAATAAGAAGGGGAAAAAAATAGAAAGGTCTCATATACTGCTTTTAGTTCTATTTTTTACTTTAAATATGCAGCAGTGTGAATAAGAAGTTACAGCTTAATTTGACACAGTTGTTAGGTTACGGAAAATGAATAACAGAATATATTATTTTTGAGGAATGTTTTGCATTTGCTTTATCAGCAATATTTGAAATTTACTTCATAACATCATATATTAAAATTCAAACTTGAAAATTTTTTTATAGAACTACGTGGTATATCTTGAAAGTGTACATATAGTTTTTATGGTTAAGACAGTACTGAAAAAATATATATGAAATGTATTTTCTCATACATTACTTGTGTTGTGCAGCATGGGCAACAGGAATGAGACAAATTTTGGAAAATACAGTGATACGTTTATTTTAGCATCTATCTCACAAGCATTCCTTCCTGTACTTTGAGGAGAAGCCCTATTTATAGATATGTGTGCATCATGGTGCTCATCCAATCAGCGATATAAATTGAAATCACGAGGTGACGCTATCTTCTCATCAGGAGTATTAAGGACTTTATGTAATACGAGATTTATGAGTTTGGCAATTTGGCGGGGGCCAACAAGTTAATATAATTTATAATAAAGAAAGGATTTCGCCAAAATTTAGGAACAGGGATGCGATTTAGGTAGAGAATCGCCAACACATTATTAAGCAAATATGATTAGAATTTAATTTAATCAACTGATTTAAAAATATCATTACATATATATAACTATTGAACATACAGTTATAAAAAATTATAACTATTTTCCATTTTTTATGCAAGTGATTGTAGAATAGATGCCTCTGACTCTTATGATAATGACGTATGTACAAGTAGTTTTTATGATTAAAACAATGTTGCAAAAAAGTTATAAACGTATTAATTAACTTTTGAACCTTGTATACACATAACAGTAGAATAAATAACTGTGCCCTTAAATTTTTAGATCGCAAAAGTAGACAACTTTATTCAGCCAAAAAACATCATTTAAGAGAACTTTTACACAGCAAAAGAGAAATCATGTTTTCGAACATAAATTAATTTGATCTTAATGTTCTACAAACAACAGCAAATGCAATACATTTCATTTAAGCAGTTTCAACGATAACATTGTTTTTTTAACTTCGGAAATGTTTCTTTTATAAGTAATAAACAGAGAGCAAAATTAGGATTCGGAAAAATGTCATTAGTTCATCAAATTGAGTATATAATAAAGCAATTCTACTTAGCTAGAGCAAAGAAATCATACATTTGACTTAATTTCACTATTTATTTTTCATAATTAGACATAATTTTCCTTTCATCCTGGGAATATTCCACTTAAATCCAGAAAATCCTATTTATATTTAAAAAGGGGAAATTTTCATACTCTATATCAAGATTTCTCAATATTTTTTCATTCTTGTGGAACCTATTTTTTTCACTCTTACATTCAAATTCTATGGAAACCCAGCATCCATGTAATAATATTTTTATTAATAGTCATGAATGGAAAAATAAAAAATGACTATCATTTTAGTCATTTACTTCAAAACAAAACAACAGCAACAACAAAATTACATGCAATTGGTACATATCAAGATTCCCTTTTACAACATCATTTTTTTTATAATTTTCTTTTACATCCAAGAATCTTGTCACTTGAACGTTAGTATATTTTCTCTGCCACCTTGCAGTAACTTAGTCAGTTGATTCAGGTGATGAAAAATATCTGCTACATAAGCTAGCATTTGCACCTATGTTTGATCCTCAAAACACATAGTAAAATCTTGTTTGTAGTTATGTTGAAAATATGCATGCATTTCTTCCTTCAGCTCAAAAACCTTATTAAAAACTCTGCCTAACCAACGGATTTCAGTACAGAAGATTTATAACACAATAACAGATTTGTGTGCTCTTTATCCATGTTTTCACCGAGCTTTTTAAAAATTCTGGAGTGAAGTGACTTTCTTTTCATGAAGTTTACTATTTTACATCCTCATCAAATACCTTTTGTAATTCATTACAAAAAGATTTTGACATCAACACTTTTCTATGAATACAAGAGTGTGTGGAAAAAACATTGGTATATTTTTCTTTTACAAAAGTAACAAAGCCTTTTATGGAGTCAACCATGGAAGCAGCACCATCTGTACAAATCCCAACATGATTTTTCCCCTCCTACATGCGCAGATAAAATATTAAATATATCTATTCTTATGTTTGTCTCAAGTAATTTTTGACAGCAGAGAAAGTTTTCTTGAATTTCTGCCTCATTAACAAATCTTACAAACACTAGAACATAACATTGGTTAAATCTATTGACTTGCCAACTAGAATTGAAAAATGTATTTTTCAGTTTATCACACAAAACATCTTTAACATCACATGACATATCATTAATTCATTCACTTACTGTCTTGTTTAAAAGTGGAATATTTTCAGTTTCCTTTAGAGCACATCTTCTCCCAATATTTTACCCACTATAATTTTACAAGTGGGCTTTATCAGATTCTGTTCGTGTGACTTTTCCTTTTCTATGCAATAATCTCTGGTACCAAATAACTTGTTTCCTGAGCCTTTTCACTAATTGTGAATGTGTTTACAAAAGTTCTGCTCTGTTTATTTTAAGATTTTAACTGAGTTTTAAAATAATCAAGAGTTTTAATTTTCATATTCATATGATTTGTTATGAAATGTCTGTTCAATTTTGTTGGAGCACTGCTGTATTCAAAAGTTTTTTTTACTACAAACAAGAAACAATAAAAGAAAACTTTTTGGATCACCAGTCCATGTAAAGCTACTGACAAATAAATTTTGTGTAACAATGAGCCTTTTTTATTTGTTTTATTTATTTCTTTACCAATTTTTTGAAATTTTGTATCATATTTTAAATTTTCAGTAACTTCAGAATTATTTGAGTTGTTTATTTTCAAGTATCCCCATATTTTAACTATTAAAAATCTATGAATTCAAAAATGAGAAAGAAAACTGAATAAAATACTAATAAAATAGCAGTAAAAGAATGGTAAATAAACTAAACTAAATAATAGTAAAATAAAAATTATACACCAGTTCTCTGTTTAACCAACCACATGATCCTACACTTCTTGCATTACTAATGCATACACAGTCACACTAGATTCTAGTCCATGATGTCAAGTCTAAATCTGACTCTGGCTAGACTTTTCTCACTGGCACACCCCACTTTCCTCATCAAAGTTACCCAAATACAATAATGAATCAGAGAAAAAAATAATTTTCTCTTTCATGACGTACATGTTATTTCCCTATTTTTTGAGGAATTCTTAACAATGTTTTACAGAGCCCTGTTTGGGAAATGCTGCTCCCTATTACAGAATAGCAAAGATTTGGCATTAGCTTGCACAGTCTTACCCTGTAAAGCTACAGGCAGTTCCTCTGAGAGGTTTGTTTTCTGCAAAAAATCTACTATATTTGGTAATTTTTTTTTAAATTGTGATCCATGTGATTTTCATAATTTGTCTGCTTTACAGCTATTTTACTTCAGCAGTTTAATTAAACACATATTGGTCATAAATATTACACACTTATGAAAATGACTTATAATCCTCTCCATTTCTGAAAAAACTTCTTTGAAAAGTACACTATTTGGAACTACATAATGATAGTAGAATAACAATTAATGATAGTAGAATAACAATTATCAAATATATTAAATGGCCAGGTAACATAATGAAAATTACACTGACAAACATATTCTCACCCAGGTATCTAAAAGTGATGTGATGGAATATTTCTGAGGCATAGTACTGAGACGAGTTGAGAGAACCTGCTGAATGCTTTGAAGAATTGAAGTTGATTCTAAAACAAAATTTATCAGTAATTAATTTCAATATTTTTATATCTATAACCATACAATTAAATCTGAACTTTTAATCATTTATGCTTCAATAATAAATCACACTTTAATAATTTTTTTAATAACAAATACAAGCTTAATATTTTTGCAAGTTACTCACATAAAAATAATCAAATACGAACCATATTCATCTTTGGTAGTGTAGCACTGGGGTGGTTTTTCAGGATAATTTTCAGGGACAGTAATACTTATTGAAGGAACGCATGGGAGGTTTTTGTCATCTACAAATAATAATTATAGTAATTTGATAACACAAATTTAAATTAAAAACAAATAAAGAATAACACTACAAAAAACGAACTTCTTAATATGTACTTAAATACTTCAAAAATTGCAGAAATATAATAATTCAACTTACCAAGCTGGCAGATAAGATTAACAGTACGAGATCCAAGATGTTGAATGGGATCTAGTTGCACTTTGAATTTCTGATCAAGACGAGCTATTTCTCCCTGTAACACATCAGAAATTTCAGCTGAATCATCTTCCACTTTTCGGCGCTTTGGGGGTGGAGTTGGTACCCTAAAAATTAATGAAATGAAGTTTTAAAACATATATTCAAGACATTCGTACTTTGTCAACCAGATATATATAGTCGTCAACCTTGAAATAAAAAAAGCGGGAAGTTCTCAAGCAAAAACTGGGAGTTTCTGGGGGGTTTATGTGCAATGCAGTGACACTGTTTCAAAAGAAATGTAAATTTTAAATCCTTTTTATAATGCATAATTTAGGTAATTGAATAATTTTAAAGATTCCGACATAAATCTACACATACATTTAGATATTCTAAATTTTATGTTTAGAGAATTTCATTTTGTAATTTTCTTACATTACATTTTATAGTGAGTAAATCTTGAGTAGATACGGAAAGCTTTTATTTATCAAAGTGTTTTTAATATGAAAAAAGCAAAATTAAAAATTACATACATTCTATTGTATGGATAAACTCAATAATGTACCATTATACTGATGTAAAAAGACTTAAATACAAATATTAACTGATTAAACACTGGCTGAATTTTCATAAATTTTCTACAAATATTTACTGCATTCTAAGACAAATTAAAATTTAATAAGAAAAATTATGCAGAAAATAACTAGAGATGGGATAGTAGAAATTGTACAATTTAAGTTTTATTAATTCAATAAATATTATTTATAGCTGGTTTTTAATTTTCGGCCTTTAATTAAAGGCCCAAAATTTAAAACCAGCCGATATGATTTACTTGGAGGCTGGGAAATGTGATAAAAAGCTGGAAGTATTCTGGTAAAACTGGAAGAACTGGCAGCTATTATATATCATTAATTATCATTATTATTATTTTGGTTTCATCTGGTATGATAAAATAAATAATATCAAATTCTAATTTAGCAACTGCCATGGCTCTAATGAAAAATTATCATTAATCCAACATTACACCTCAATTCAAATTTAACACGACACCTATTATAAAATGTTAAAATTTTGTCTGCATTTGCCAATTATTATGACTACACAGAGAACTCAGATATTACTTTTCTCTGTTTTACATTTTAGGACAATACAGATTTGCTTTATCAATAACAATAAATGTAGTAACTATTTGGCAGCTATTAAAATTTTCAGACATCACTCTCCTATATGATGAAATCCCATTATATCCCACATCAGCAGCAATCAAAAATGACAACTATTTTTCTCCAGTTACTTTGTTCGTGAGAACATTATTTTGGTGATATGACAGAAAATTAGATGTTAATTCTTGAAAGGAGAGCTAAACATTAAATTTCTTGACATATTATTTTCCCATTTACATATGCAATAGCTACAATACTGAACAAAGAGAAAACATAATTATTGATAAGTATTATGACACCATAAACCACACTTGAAATCATCTTTGCTTGTTTCCTTTTTTGATCTTGGGAAGATATTAATATTTTCGTTTTAAATTTCAGCCTATATTCATTTGAACAAAGAAAAAGCTTTAATACATTTAAAAATTTTTTCATAATGTAAAAGCAATTAAGTAAATATTATCAAGAACATTAATGGACTAAGATTGAAAGAAAACTGCAGCTGAGTGAAAAAAGGGCGGGGCAGCCTCTTGAGGGAAATCTTATTTAAAGAGAAAGAATGAAATTTGGCCTCCCCTGATACATAATAAGATGTGTATGTATCATAAATTGCTACTGATTTTTTTTTTTTTTTTTTTTTTTTTTTTGCTGACTGTGTAAGATAAAAGCTCAAAAACTACATCCAAGTATTTCTGAAAATTTTTGCAGGACATTTCAGTTTTCCTCTGAATGAATGAATGCAGTGCAATTTTATCCAATTAGATATTTCCATGATGAAGTTTCTCTATTAGAGACTTTTTTTTTTTTTTTACTAGTCACAAATATTTTATAGTGACTAATTGCTTTTGGCAATTTATGTAATGCAAATTAATAACTAAGTAAAAATATTACACAAAATAAAAAACAAAATTTTATATTTTTGGATAAGTTGTAACTGAAATACTCTTTACAGCTTTAAAAAACAAAGAACCAGAAAGAAGTAATGTCTTTTACTATTTAAATGGAAATTAAATAGTATAACTGCTAATTTGTTTTGTTAAAGAGTTATGAATAAATAACTCATTAAATTTTTAATTCTACTAAATTTAAAGATTATAAGGGGTAAGTCGGCAAATTTTTTTTTCAAAACAAAGATTGCAGATCATCAATATTTATCATAACTAGGCAAACATTATTAATGTATTAAAAGGAAACAATTAAACATATGAAAATAATGATTAAAAATATAATTTATAGGGTTGACCCATGAGGTCTAGTATTCTTTTTTCAAAGTTTAGATTTCCACAAAAATAAGCAATAAATGAACAGCAAATTGATCAATAATGTATTCTCATTGGTCTTTACAACTTCTTCCCAATGTTCACCAAGCTGTACAATGCCTTGATGGCAGAAATCATCGTCTTTGAATAACTTAAACCAATTTTGAGATGTCCTAAGAGCATCGCTTCTTCGCTACACACTTCCCAAATGTCCTGGAAAGCTTCTGTGGTTTTGGCCCCTTGATTAAAACACATAAAGCAGGTGGTGTTAAAAATGCTCTTTTTTGTTGCTGTGACACTTCATTTTAATGATATGAAAGGAACAAAAAAGTGTATCAGCATAAGCAAACTAAACACACTGTTTTGTAGAATACATAATTCTCTATTAAATAACATAAAACACACTGCCAAAACATTTAACTTTTCTAGCAAAATTTTCACTACTAAAAATTTGCCAAGACTTATGGACTAATACAATACAATTGATAAAGTAATACAAATTAAAAATACAAAAATGACATATTAAACTAATATATGATACATTATTGCTATTCTTAACATGCACATAGTAATCTATTTTTGCTTAAGAAAAAAATCAGAAGTGCTAAATTCAGCACTGTCAACATTACATATTATATTGTATGCATTATTGTTTTTCTTCTTATGAACACAGTGCATTGACTTTCACTTAACAGCAGAGAACTGCATAACTCGGCATCACACACAGTCTTGGCATTACACTAGTTAAAATATTATCCATCCATATATTATATCATATATTATTGCTGTTCTTCCCATGTACACAACAATCTATTTTTGCTTAAAAAATATTAGAAAAATGAACAAATTAAAAAAAAAAAAAAAGTTTAATAATCGCACACAGTTTTGGCACTGCATAGATTAAACATATATACATAGTATACGATACATCAACATAGTTCTACTGTTCAAAGACTTTTTTTAAAAAAAAAGTTTGCAAAAATAAAATCATTGCAAAATAAAGAAAAAACAGGGTTACTGTTATAAAGTTGTAAACTAACATGGAAATCCCTAAATTTGTTGTGCCCCTTATTCTTTGCTTTAGCCAGCTTAAATTTCAGTAGTTTAATAATTCAATAACAATAGCTTTATAAAATAAAAAATTCAATAGTTTTCGTATTTGAATATGTGATAAAATGAGAGGGGAAAAAAGATAAATAAATAAAAGCACTGGATCACATAGCACCTGATTACCAAATAAAGCCTTTATGTCAAATTAAAACTACATCTTTTTAATCTTGTATTTGCATAATAAGCTGCTCTACTGTATACCACGTGAATAAACTTACCTCACACTAGGCCCAAAAAGAGCTGTTACAGGTGGCCCAAAAGTCTTTTGAAGAATGTGATTAAACATAGGCGATTTGATATGATTAGTAAGGGCATCCAGAAGTGGCTGACAGATGTTCTGCTCTTGGGTTTTCATAGGTAATGCTGTTGTCTGTGTACTTGGTACACCATCCATTTGCATAAAAGACTAAAATGAAGAACGTATTTTATTTTCAGTTCATTTCAGTCTTGAGTATCAACTCTTTCTTCCCAAAGTCAGAAAAATAATTTATAATATTCTATAACTGATAGAATTACATGATATATTTCCAAATTTAGAATAAGACCACATATTAAAGAAATGAAATTATGCACACAAATATTAAAAACAGCAGAAAACACATTTTCTTTCAATAATAATAAAAAAAAGGACTAAAAATTAGCAAAGAAAAATTCAGTTTTTTTTGGGTGAGTAATCTTTGTCACTAAACATAATGATTATTAAAAAAAGGCAGATACATTTACTATAGAATCCATAACATTTGATTATTGCATGAATATGAAAGGTTAATGATAAAAATTTTAAATATTCATATTCCAAAGCAAAACACTGTTTACGAAACTCAACATATGACAGCCTACTGATAAGCTATGTAAGGAATTTAAAATTCAAATTAAAAAAAAAAAAAAAAAAAAAAAAAAAAAAAAAAAAAAAAAAAAAACGTAAGTCCCCTCCCCCCCTCCTGAAAAATTACAATAGTTATCAGAAATTTATTAAGAGCAAACTCAGATGTAACTGCTAAAATCACTGATGTAATTGCTAAATGAAGATTTTTGTTATAACATAATTTACTTGCAGAGTGTTTTTCCGATATTTAACCCTTCATTATAGACACCTTTCTTCATCTGCTTCAGTATAGAAAAGTATTATAGGGTTTTAACTGTGTAATATTTACTCAAAATTCCTCAGATCTTATTAGGCTGACAAGCAAGTTATCGCTCTATCTGAATATGTACAACAAATCTTATAAAGATTTTAAATAAGCCTTTTTATTAAAGCTTGAATAGAACAGAAAGCATAACTTGTGCGTACAATCAGAAATTCTGCCACCTGAGAGTATTAAAATAACATAAGGTTGAAATTCCATTTAAAAAAAAAAAAAAGCCTTGTTGCTGACAGCTACATAATAATGGCATACCTAAGCTAGCTCAATTAAATGGCCTGATTTAACTCCCATTAGTAACTGATTAATGCTAGAATATTAACAAGTAGTGCTGGGTGATAAAAAGTAAAGCTGCAATTGTATTACATACTGATATAGAGCCAAAAGCTCTATACATAAAACATTCAAAAACTCCGCCTTAAATATTCTTTAATCTCATTTGCATTTTGGTGAAGGCTAATGAAAAGGAGAAGTTATATTAAAGATCTAAATTATAAAAATTGGTTAATTTACATAAACCACTTTTATTGTGTCTTAGACTAATTACATCCACTAAAAGGTTAAACATATCCGGCTTTCAAATTCTGGGAAAAACATTTTTTAGATTTCATAATTAAGGTTGTATAACGATGGCTATGTCTACTTGGTGCTTTTATTCAGCTACAGAATTTTTAAAAAATATAAAGAAAGAAGTAAAGCAATCAGAGATTAAAACTGGAACACAAACAACCAAAAAGAATAAATGATAAAAAAAACAGAAGTTTCTGGGTAACTCTCACATAGCTTTTAGAAGACTGTTAATTAATCACAGCTAGAATTGTGATATAAATAAGGACTCTTTTTCTAGAGATCTCATTTTGACTCTAAATTCCAAAACTATTTGTGGCATCCTGTATTTCTGTAGCTAATTTGTATTCAGACTAGTTTGATGCCAAATTCTGTATTAAAAAGCATGAAGTGTATGTTAAGAGATGAGAAAGAAAAGTTACCAGATTTTTGTTTGTTCATATTAACTTTTATCCAGGAAGCTATACTTTTGAATGCTATTCCAATAATTTTTAATTGAAGAATTAATTTTTTTGAAAGTGTTCGATATCTTTAATATGTTGTTCAAACTTGCGTATTGCTTTTTAAACTCTTAAGCTTTTTATTAATATTGATGTTATTTTTTATACATTTACAGTTCTTGCTTTTGATATTAACAGGTATTTAGTTGTAAAAACACTTCAGGAATTTAATATACAGTTTATTTAGAAGAATTCTGCCCAATAGTTTGTGTCTGCAAAAACTATGCACAAACAAGTAATAACAACAATTAAATATGGCAGAACTTCAAATAAATAACATGGTTTATATGGAACATATAAAAATAAGATTTTAATAATAAAATTAATGTACATAACATACACACATTTATTCAAGATACTCCCGTTTTATTGAAAATGAGAATTTTTACATGAAATAATAACACATTTAATTTTAGAAAAGATATAACTTACAGGATTCATCTTTTCTAAAACTTGTTCACACTTTAAAAGTACTTCCATTGGGCACCTTTAAAAGATAAACAAAAGACAAAAATATTAAAGCAAACACGCAAATAAATTATGAATCCAAAAGTTCACTGCAGGTCTCTGCAATTTTTGAAGCAGAACAGAAAATAAAAGTAACTTCATAAATTCTTGTCTCGGATACACTGCCAAAACAATGTTTAAATTACCTGCGATTTGGATCCGTTAAAATGTCTAATAAATTCTTCATTCGATTTAAATCCTTCTTTTTATCTAAAAAAAGAATGTACCTTTTTTACTCAATTATCTCCATTAAGTAAAAAAAAAAAGGGTTGAAAATATTATTAAATAAAAAGATAAAACTCTCACTAATAATACTTACTTTCATCTTTGTCAATACGGGCTATCATTTTCTTTAATGGATCAATATACTTGGATAATTGCTTTCTCTTCTCAAGGTAAGAATCCTCCTGCGAGGCTCGGCTCACAGGACTAGGAGTTGCACCTGGTGCAACTTAAAAAAAAGAAAAAAAAAAATTAAAATTATGAGAGTTTCAATGACAGTAGCTAGATGGAAACACTATGATTCTGAATTCAAAAACAGAAAATTTAACATCAGTACATACACACACACAGAAGGGGGATAATCGAAGAAGTAATAAGAGCAATGATACACTGTCAAAAGAAAAGTATTCAAAGAAATGCAGCTGCCTCTAGTGGAACTGCTGTATAGCATTTTGTTTTCAGTTACAATGATTTCTGTGCATCCACTTCTTACATACATAGGTAGTATTTTATATCATAATGTACATACAATTATAATACAGAATCAACAGGAAGAAAGATATGCAAATTATAGACATTGCTTGCTTATCCAGAGAAGAGAGATTTGGGCATGCTTTTTTGGGTGTATTAATTGGGTGTACTTTTTATTTGAAACAGGTTGCAACTATATTTTTTAAACAATTTGAAATGTAATGTTCACAACATTATTGTAACAGATTTTGTTCTCTTTATATGTATGTGATCCTCACACAAGTAGTATGACATCTAACCAAAAGTTTACACTAAGCTGTCATATTACCATGCCCTGCATAAGGATAGTATGTACCATGTACCTAAAGGAGAAAAAATAAATCTTTCAATATTATTGTGACAGATTTCTTGATGTGTGTGCATCTCTATATATACACTATGCATTTCATTAGGATGCTTCTATTCTAGAATGTTTGTTTTCAGAGTTCATTCTAATTTCACTTGCATTGAAATTTAGCAAGCCATCAGTAGACAATTTTAAATGACAGTGAAAACTTGATAAAAATTACATTTAACTGGCTTTGATTTAGTAACCATACTTCATTTTTAAAATGCATTTCTATTACTGCCCCTGAATTTCATATTTTCTACATACTTAAAAATGCTGAGTATCATTTACTTAATAACTACTGAAAAAAATTGAAGGAATTCAAAAATTTGTGTAAGAGAAATACAGAGGGCATTTATACATTTTTAGCATAATTTCAAGGTAATTTAACTTATGTTTAAAATGTAAAGAGTATTTTTTTAAATGTTCAAACTGATAGTCTAATCGTGGTGGGTTTGTTCTTAAACAGCTCTTTTCAAGAGACCAAAGGACTCTTTTCAAGAGTTTCATACATGAAATGCCACGGGACTTCACAGGAATATGCTGAAAAGGTATATATGCAAGACCTGTATTGGTTTTCACTTCTCTGTGGAATACAGTGGTACTTTTCAAGATACGACTTGTTACTCCTTGATGAAGTTTCACTCTTTGAAAGTCATTTAGTGAAACAAATGGAATTTGTTCCGTAAATGTCGGATGTAAAACTTTCTCTTGATAGTACTATGATTAGATTTTTACATTTTCCCCCCATTCTTCTTATTTTTAATTTCCCACTGTAAGAGGATCCTGTGACAATCTTAAACCCCTTATTGAAACTTTCTTTGCATTGATGAAACCAGATTTGTATATTTTTTCCTCTTCATTTTCAATAATAAACATTTTTACTTACTTATTTATTTTGTTGCAGCTATTTAGGTAAACCAATGCTTCATCAAGGATTACAACTGTATCTTCATTTATCTCCTAAATATTTTCCATACATGGTTCTACAAATTGTTTTGTACTCAGTCACAGGCCTCGGCAAAATCTGGTAAATTTTATGTTTTTTTAGCTTTTTTAAGTTGTAAATCTTGGTATAATATTTTAATTATTGTTGCTAGAAATGCATTTACAGACAGTGCAATTGGTTTCTGCAGATTGGTGGATTTCTCTTATTACCAACTATTTAACTTTAGAAACAGTATATACTTCTTTTTGAAATTCGTTTGGTATCTTTTTTCCATGTAGAAGTGATGATTGACGGTTTTTGTCTTTTCTGATAAATAATGTTCCTTAGTTTGCACTTAGAAATTTTGATACCATGCATTTCAAAATGTTTTTGAATTATGGAAATTTTACTATGGTATTTCTCTTCAGAAAGCATAAAAACATATTCTTCAATTTCCTGCTTGTTTATATGTGACATTTTGAAAGAAGAATAAATTTATAAGTTGCAGACAATACTTTTCATTTCAAATAATATGCTGCTGCCAAAAATTTTTATTCCAAAACATTTGCTTCTTTTTAAAATTCTTTATCGAAATTGTTCTAAAAATGTGTAAGCACTCTCTATAAGTTAGAAAAACATATTGTATTATTATTATATTTGTTTGAATTCTATTTTAAAGAAATTTAGTATCTTATATATAACCAGTATGCTTTTAATAATAGACACATTCAGCAATATCAAAATGAAAGCTTATTATGAAATCTGTATCAGTAATGTTAACCCTCTGACTGCAGATACAAAATTCATAAAAAGAGAGATTTTTATTCAAATGAAATCAAAAACTGATAGAGAAATAGCAGTTGCCGCTTTAATGCATCCCAGCATTTAAATATCAATGCAATAAGAACATTCACTGCATATATTCAGGAAAAATTTCCGGAACATGTTACCATAGTTGGAGGTTTAAAAGAAAGGACATATTCAGTAAGTTTAATCTTTCCTTTGACTATAATATTCATCTAAATTTTAGAGTCAATTAGCCTAATGAATTAAATTCTTCGCCTATGTTCAATAAGATATTTCACATTTGAGCATGTTTTGCAATCAACAAATGATTTTTATGATAACAAGATTCTGAAATCAATATATGCAGCAGTTGTATTATTTAGAATTCTATATGTACACAAACAAAGCATTAAATATGATGGGATCCTTATAATTTCAAGATACAATGAATGCCTATGTTATGTTTATTACCTTGCTTTTTTAAAACACTTTCACTATTTAATTTAATACAATCTACAGGTAGCAAAATTATTACTTAAAATTATTACTTAATCACTTAAGTTATTAAAACCCAAAAATAGCTACATAAAAAGGTAAAAAATTTTGTCTATTAATCTAAAAAATGGATATGTATTTACGAGGGCCATCCAGGAAGTAGATTACGTTTCCGTCTGTGTCCGCTAGGGGCGGGGCTAGCGCGGCCATCTTGGGGTCAGAGCGTTGCGCAGCTCAGTCTGCATCTAGCCATGCTAGTGAGAGGTTCGTGCTGTGCTCCGTTCAGATACTGTGACGGTTTGAAATGTCTGCGTTAATTGAAAATCCCGCGAGCTGCGCTCAGTAATAAGGTTTCTGACTGCAAAAAACTGTAAACCGATAGAAATCTATCGGCAGCTTCGTGAAGTGTATGGGGGACAACATTATCACTGAAGGTGGAGTGCGTCAGTGGGTCATAAGATTTCAAAATGGCCGAACCAATGTTCACGACGAAGATCGAAGTGGGAGACCCAGCATAGTGACCGCCGAACTTCTCGAAAAAAGTCGATGCTAAAGTCCGTGAAAATCGAAATTTCACAATAACGGAACTTTCTTTGAGTTTTCCACAAATTTCGCGAAGTTTGTTGCACGAATCATCAGCGAAAAGCTTGGTTACCACAAGTTTTGTGCAAGATGGATTCCAAAATCTTGACAGAGGACCACAAAAATCAGCGAATGGCTTTGCAGCGTTGAACTTTTGGACGCTTACCATAAGGATGGGTGACTCTTTACTCGATCGCATCGTTATGGTGACGAAACATGGGGTGAAACCATGTGAACTGTGAAAACGAAATTGCAATCAATGCAGTGGGGGCACACAAGTTCTCCCCCAAAAACCCAAGAAATGCATGCAAACAATGTCGGCAAGGAAGATGATGGCGACTGTTTTTTGGGACAGAAAAGGTGTAAATTTTGGTGGACTTCCTGGAAAGAGGCACTACAATAAACTCTCAAGGTATTGCCCAAACTCTCCAAAAACTCAGAAGAGCAATTGAAAACAAGCGCAGAGGAATGTTGAGCTCTAAGATCTTGTTGATTCACGACAACGCCCCGGCCCCCACGGCAAATGTCACTCGTAAAGTTCTTGAATCTTTTAAGTGGGAGTTGTTTCCCTCATCCGCCGTACAGTCCCGACCTGGCACGAGCGACTTCCACCTATTCCCAGCAATGAAGAAGTGGCTGGGCTATGCAGCGTTTTGATGACGACGCACAGCTGCAAGAAGAGGTAACGAAGTGGTTGAAGGCGCAGGCGGGCCGAATTTTTCGACGAAGGAATTTCCAAGCTCGTACATCGCTACGATAAATGCCTTAATTTGTATGGTGACTATGTAGAAAAGTAGTATTTGAGTGTGGCTTTCATCTGTATATAATAAAATTTGTTTCCTATACTTTGTTTATTTTTTTATTCCAAAACGTAATCTACTTTCTGGATAGCCCTCGTATACTAGGAGTTCAAGACCACAATAGTTATTTAGGAGCAATACACCATCTACCCCTGCACAAAGATTAATTGCTGAAAACTAAATTACCAAAAAAATCAAAATAAATTAATGCATTTTAAATATATTACACAAGAAATAACATAAATATCATCCTACTATAGAGTTATAATTTGCCTTGATATATGCTATCCAATGTATTAAATGAATTCTAAATTTCAAATTTCTATTTTACTAGATTAGTAATTAAATTTATACATTACTTGGTGTGTTTAAAGCACTACCAGGTGATGGTGCACCAGGTGTGCGGGCAGAATAATTAGCAGCTGGAGATGGGGTAATTTGGGAATTTGGACTTTGGGCATAAACAGCAGGAGAAGGTGCCATCTGTGAACTAAAATCAAACACTTAAGAAATTTATATAAATATTAACTTTAGAACTTATTAGAACTTTAATACTGTTAGATAAATGTCTTTATTTTTGCTGATATTAATTACCTCATGCTTTGAGGATGATGATTAGCAGGGGAAGGAATTGCAGGTTGGTTACTGTTAGGTCCTTGACTTGCAATCTGCAGAGACAGATAACAGAAATCAGTATCATATATTAAGTTTTTAAAATGTCAGTTGCTTTATTTATTTCCTCAAAAGAAATATACAAACTATGCATAATATAATACACAAGTCTAATAAATAAGATGGCCATAAAACTGGTTATAAAATATATTTCTAAGTATTTTATAACTAAATTTACCAGATTACTAATGCTATCAAACTAATATCACAATAACCAACACATGGTAATTACACTAAAACATACCAGAGTATATAAATACTATATTAAGATTACACACCAATATTAGCCACAAATCACCCTTTTATTTCATGTAAGAAATTGAAGTTCCTGGAGTAATTTTTAACACTCAGTGGTTGAGATGGATATATTTTACAAAGAAATTTAGAATGTTAATTGACCAAGTTCCCTGGAACATCTGACTCAAAGAAGGTTCCAGATGAGAATGAAACATTAAACTAATTTAAGATTTTTAACAATGAAGGGCAAAACACTGCAAAGTAAAGCCTAACTGGAAAGATGATTTACACTTATACAATGTAACTGGAGTTAACTAAAAGGAAATTCAATACTGCTGATTGCTTCAAAAAGGAATTCAGAACTGTTTCTACAGTGTCAAGAGTGAATGCATGACAACAAATGGAAAAGTGTGACACGACTTAACTTCCTAATTTACTGCTTATAATTAGGCACTGGTATATATCATGTTCTGATACTTAACTAAAAATTATGCTATATCAAGTTCTGATACTTAACTAAAAATTATGCTTTACAAGATCACTACAATACAGATTTTGGACATCTTGTGCCGTATGACTTATATTTTTTCTTGCACCTTACAATTATACTGATGGATTACAATTACTGAAAAACAGAAAATATTATGAAACTACAAATATCAGTTCAGAAACAAAGGAATTTTTGCAAACACATGAGCTCCCTTTCTTAACATAAAGCTGATGACTATCAATGATATGAAGACAATTCAGCTTTTGGAAGAGGATCAGCAAATTTTGTTCTACATTAAATGTAGAACATGCATACTTTGCAGACACATTGATGTAACACTGCCATACAATGTTCTTTAGTAATGACTTGTTTTAGTAGAGAGTAAACCCTATAATTTTTTTCACTTAATGACAGCCATATGATTTTTTAAAAGCACATTTTTGAAAAAAATTAAAGAATTTAATTATATATTTTGCAGTACAGTAGGTATACAGATATAATTTTCAAGAAGAGAAAATGTTCATATCTTCAGAATTTTGGATTTCTTAATAATTAATACATTATACTTTGTACAGTCTTCTTGTTCCTTTTGATGCATAAACTGTAGACGCTACTGATGATGAATTAGCACATTCTCCCCATGTCTTGAAGGAAAACAGATGACAGCAGACGAAGGTTGTAACAATTTTTTAAAAATTTTAATTAAACTGAATAGAACATGCACTCAATTGGTGCTCACAAATTAACCACCACTTGTGGCTGAGTAATTTGAACACAAAATAGGATGTACAATCACAGTGAATAAAATTTTAGCTACATGATTGGCTCCTGTTCAATTTAAACCACTTAATCAGCTGCACACAGCAAAGCTGAGCCTAGAATATCAACATGATCTGACATAAGTGGCCAGCACCAAATATTCAGCTATCAAAATACTTTCAAACCATGTGCCATAAATTCGGAACTAACTCTTCTACCACAAACTCTTAAATTTTGCTACTTAAATACTATTTCCAAACGCATTTAGATTTGCATTCTGGCAGGAACTTAAAATCAGAAGGGAAAGCAAAATTTCTTAAAATAAAAATAATTGTTTAGAATAAAATAAGATCTTTACAGCTTTACCATTACAACAGAGCAATAATGAGACTTATAAATAAAGTTTGAAATTTAAATAACACTATACATATTTATCATTTTGCAGTATAATGTAAAATTTACTCCAATGGAGATAACTTGTATCTTATATTACAAATTAAGTTTCAGAAACATTTTTCTTCAGAACTGTTCATGAAATTGGGCATGATCGAAAGTAGATTCAAGCAAACTGTTTCTCACTCTTACTTTATTATATAATTTAAAATGCAGACTAATAAACTGTTTTAAAAACTTTCTTGATTCTTATTTTTCAAATTTATTTATTTCTGTCATCATATTTAGAATTTCAATATGCATTTGCTGTAATATCAATAAAGTGCATGTATAATGACTTACAATACTGAGCAAACACTATTGAACCTTAGAATTGATAAGACCTTTGAATAAATGAATTGAACAGACAGAAATCTGAGCAAATACTTTGCATGCTGTACTTAAAATTTATATGTTTCATATTTTATCATACATTCTTTATATTGAATAATGAATTTCAGTAACTATAGCATAGATTCTATAAAATGCATTCAATGGAAAGTCACAATTTTTTGCTAATAGTGTATTTATAACAAAAACAAATAATAACATTGTCCTTGCTATTATTTAATATAATTATGTCAACACTTGATAAGTGCATAGATATTGCAGGAAAAGAATTACATGGGAGCATGGACATTCATGCACCACTGATTGAACCTCATGATGGATACTTTGGAACTTTGTTCTATTCAGCATGTCCTTCAGGCCCACAGATATGGAAACATGATGGCAAGTCTAGATGAATATGGAGGATGTAAAATGAACTCAGAACTTCTAAACAGTCACTACTGTTTTCTCTAGCATAGTGGTTTTCAAATTCCCCCTCCCAATGTATCCCTTTTATCACTGCTAGATGATCATCACCCCCCTTTTTTTCCAAAAAATTGAAAAATACATATAAATTTATTTAAATTTAGATTATTTTTTAATGTGTTTCATATATTAAACAAGAAAAATTATTGAAAATACTGATAAATGCCAAAATTTGAATTAAAGCAATTTTTTTACAATCACAACTAAAGCTAAATACTAACCAGGTAAATAAAAGGCCGACTTTCTTCCTCCTGTAACTATTAAATTCCTCCCCACAGAGAGTAATTTCCCTTCTGGTTCAAAACCCCTGCTATCTAGCAGCATATGAATTGTCACAGAGAAGATCCCTTCCTTCAACAACCTGTCCAATTCTGACAAATAGTTGATTTCTGAGTTTCTTGTATTCTTGTGTCATGTCCCAGCATTCCTTGCAAACTTGTGCTGAGTTGCAGTTATGTAGATAACCTGTACGGCCTGTTCTGTGTTTTTAAAATGCTCAAATTGCTTGCCCTGTGAGAGCTACTGTCAGAGATACGTTTTTTGGTTGGCAAGAAACCTGTTTGCTGCAGATGTTCACTGGCAGATTTGCCAAGTTTCCGGCTACTGCCATGAGTGAAGGCAAAGTGCGTAAGTGGATCAGAGACTTCAAAGCTGGCCGTGACAATGTCCATGATGAGTTTCGTTCCGGCGGCCCATCTGTGATCACAGGTGATATGATGGCTTCAGGTGAAGCAATAATTTTTTGAAAACAGATGCTTCACCATAAGTGCTCTTTCAAACAAATTTCTTGAAGTGTCTAGGTCAGTGATGTACAAGATTGTTTCTGAAAAATTAAGATTTAAGAAACTGTGCTCTCGATAGGTCCCTAAACTCCTAATGGAGGAACACAAAAACAAGATTTGAGTGTTTGCTGAATTTTGTTACTCATTATAATGAAGAAAATGATGCCATATTGAGTTGGATCATAATGGGAGACGAAATGTGGGCTTCACATGTCACGCCCTGATGGAAGTAACAGTGGAGACACACACATTCTCCTGTATGGGTCAAGGCCAAATAGACCCTGTCCCAGTGCAAGATCATGGCATCCATGTTCTGGGATAAGCAAGGTGTTTTGTTGGTTGATTTCAAGCAACATGGATCCACCATAAATGCGGTAGCCTACGGCTACACCCTGCAAAAGTTATGCAGAGCGATTCAAAACAAAAGACACAGCATGCTGATAGAGGGAATTTTGCTACTCCACAACGATGCAAGGCCTCACACTGCAGCTTAGACCTGAGCTTTATTAGACTCTTTCAGCTGGGAAGTTTTGGACCCCTTCCCTACAGTCCAGAGCAATTTTCATCTTTTATGCTATTTCAAACAGCATGTTGGCGGCAACCATTACAATGATGACGAAGACGTAAAAATGGCCGTTCCCTCTTGGTTATTTGAGCAGGTGGCAAGTTTCTATGAAGAGGGCATTTAAAATCTAGTTCTAAGGTATGATAGGGGTTTAAACAAGCTTGGCAACTATGCTGAAAAACAGAGAAATGTACGTAGAATTTGAAAATAAATTTGGTTTTTATTTTCAAATTGGCGTTATTTAAAAAACAACCCTCGTATGTTACAAAGTACGATTAGCTTCTTGGGTACACATTAATAAGCAGGAAAAGTCATATGGATTTTGCCAATATATCATTGCATGAACTTCTTCAATCTGACATACAAGGCTTTGTTCAGAATATGTTTTGCCACTTTCACGACCGGATTTACCTTAAACTACACAAGCTATAGCTTAGGACCCCTCAAAAAATGGAAATATAGTATAAATAGTGTTAAAATATATTTTAACAGACTTATAAAGGGCCCATTATCTCAAATATCTTAGGGCCTTATCAAGTCTAAATCTGGCTCTGACCACTTTTGTTCTGGTTCACAGAAGTGTATCCTGCTTTCATTCCCAATGCTGCTATGCAAGCAGAAATGCTTAATCAACCTCATATTAATGCAGATGCTTTTGACAAGCATCAAATAGATTTCTTTCCATTTCAAGCATTCAAGTGCTTGTGTGTACCTATCTAGTACACATTTCTTGGAATTTCAGCTTATCATGAATGATATATGATATGATATGCTGATTACAGTTCCAACGTGCTGTGTAAAGGTTTTTTTTCCCCCCTTCTTTTGAAAAATGGATGATTATTTTTAGGATTTGACTGTAGCTGTCTACTTTCTACAGGTTCATTTTGAAATATCAGTCGGGAGTTAAAAAACTGTTTCTCATATAAAGTTAAATGTTTCACAACACCGCAAAAATATTGTTACAAAAAAAGCAGTAATTTTGTGCAAATGCTTTTTTCAATAATTGGTGTTCAATTTTATGATATTGTTTTAGGTGCATTCCACAAAATATGTGTCACAAGTGTCTAATTAATACAAAATCCTTTTTATTCAATTAATATGTTATATAGTATGTGCATTGTTATAAAAATAATGATAAAACAGTGTACGTATAGCAATTAAAAAATAGCATAAAAATATTTAGAAAAGTGTTCTTTGTACACTAAAACAAAACAAATAAAACACATCAGATTATTAGTTAGAGTAAAGGATTTAGTGAATACGTTAATTTCTTATATATACCAGCACCAAAAATATCCCCAAAGTCAATAACTGAATCACAAACTTTTATATAAATCATTGTTAGAAAGGAGAAATGACATAAATGTTACTGAAAACAAAATTAAGGTCATATTATTATAAAAATACAAGAAAAGTTAGTAAAATAACTGACTGTGGCAGGTGCAGGGCTATGACCTTGAAACTGAGAAGAGAGAGGACTTTGCTGAGACTGCATAAACATATTTTCATTGAAATTTCCTTGCATAGGCTAAGGAAATAATGCAAAATTTAAAAATCAAACAAAGAAAAATTTAATTAATTTTTAACTGCCTATATCCTGTAACTGATATTATTGTTATATGAGGAAAAAAGGTATAAAATATGCAAATATGATCAGTTAATATAGTAGAGGTAACAAATATTCTATTTGAAATAGTTTATATGACTTGTTGAAGTGATTTCAATTTGGAATTAATAAGATGCTTGAAATGTTTAATTTTTTACACGGAAGATATAAAAAAATATGTTTAAATAATACAAAATTTTATTTACATGCAGAAAGAAAATTACATGATTTTGATTTATAGTAAAATAAATATGAAATGCCTCAGTGTAAAATTAAAGTTATAAAATTTAACACTACACTACATTCAAACTGAAGAAAATCAAAACTAAATTAAGCACTTTTAAATTTTCTGCAACACCAAAGATTGAATGACAAAGAATTATAATTTAAAGTTTTAGCAATTTGTTAAAAAAAATTAGACTGTCTAAATAGTGAATCTCAATTTTGATGAGCAATAATTACATCACAGTTGTAATGAAGGGAGAAATATTTGAAAACTAATTTTTATTATATCTAAACTTTAATTATAAAAACTATATATGTTTGCTAAATTTCTCTATATGACATTATACGATAAATTTAAAATTTTCAAAAACTATGGTACAAAACACAGAACTAATTTTTGCTTGTTTAACTCAAAAAAGTCTGATTAGAACAATCTAATGCGGATGTGACTTCCTCGTATGGCCTATTATATTATACACACTTTTTGCTGCACTTCATTTAAACTTATTCCCTAGAATTATTCTAAATTAAGTAAGTTGGAAATTACATCAAAAACTGCAAATTCTGAAATTATATTCTGATCAATTTTTGTCGTACATGAATCAAACTTCTTGTATTTTTGATAGTGAGTATAAAAATTTCCCAAATGTGAACCAAGAAACCACATTAAAAGTTAGATCTCGCTACTTGTCTAAAATTATTTTTTTTTAAAAATTTGACATGATCAAAACATGAAACACTTTTGTAATTGGAATTATATGACTATGACCAATGATTGCAAAAATAAAGGCTGGGTAATGGAAATGAGTATAAATATACTTTCGGTACAGGGAAGTGTGTAGCTAGATGTTATAGCAGTCCCCAAAATAATATTTCAATGTTCTGCGATTAATTATTGAGTTAAACAAGATACATATGCCCATACGTTTAAAGAAAAAATTTCCACAGAACACGTCATACACACACACACACAAAACATACAAACAACCCTTCCTCCCAAAACTGAAAATTTTCAGATTTTAAATTACGTCCAAAGTGGCTTTTTTTTAACATTTTGTTTGTTACCTTTATTGATTAAATATAATGTTCTTCGCATTTAAACCATAAAATTCAGTTCAAGAGCAATACCACAAAATAATTTTAAATTGAGCATATCTTTAGAACTTCCTCCCCTACATAGTCTAACACACTGGAGATAAAAATGCTTTTTCTGTACAACATTGCCATTGTTTGCTTTGAAATCCTTGAGTTTGTTAATCAAAATTTCGTTAAATTTTTACAAAACATGAAATCGATAGTAAAACAAATTTCAAATTTGGGTTTCCAGATGCCCATATTGGCAGTAGAATTACGTTATTCAAAATTAGATGCAGTTGTTTTATCACAATGCAAGAAACATACATACATTTATGCATGAGTCTCAATTATTTAATATCGTCAAATATAATACAGGGTGATAATATTTGGTGGCAACAGTCTGAAAAGTGAAACAGACATTCAGAGTGATTCGATGCAAAATTGCAAAACAAAAACAATAGTCCCCGAGGGACAAAGCCTGGACTTAAAAAAAAAAAAAAAAAAAAAAACTCTGAAATCTGATAACTGAAATTTTTTACAGTTACAATACTTCCTTCATTTCATACATGGAAGTAAAAAGGGGAAAGCACACAAAGTCTACTTTCTTCACAGGAAGACTATTTTGGTAAAGGATTTTCTAAGAAAAATAGACTTTTACTTGAAAAAGCCACAAAAACACTCGTATAACCAGCCTGTCTGCAGAGATTCAAGCTTAGTTTGAATTTTTAGTGATCAGCAATTTTATCCATGCAGCTACTGCCAAGTTGCATCTGACCGATTTAAAAAACATAACTGAGTCATGGATCAGATCAAACTCAGAATATAAATTAAAAATAATAAAAGTTTTAAAATAAGGTATGGTATTTTTTAACATCAATTTAAAGCTTTAACACATTTAAATGAACCATGTTTTCACAAAATTTAAAAAAAAAAAAAAAAAAAATTTGATTTATAAGCCCCAAATTTTAAACAACATTACAACCAAGCTGCTAAAAAAAAAGGCCATTAAAAATTAGTAAAAGACTCAGAGAACTTCTTTTATGTAAAATTTTCATTAATTTTCAAAAAAAGTTTGGTTATAAGCAAGAGTTGTACTGGACTGCCTAAGATGTTAACAAAAACTTTTTAAAACTTTTTTTATTAAATGACTTATATAAACAGTGAAAGAAAATTACCCTATAATGTAACTCTTTTGACTGATGTAGAAGAAAGTACATTATTGCATATTGATTGTCGAAAATTTTTCGTTAAGCATTTTAAATAAATAGCAGCTATTGGAAACTTTTTTGTTTCAGGTTAAGATAACTGACACCATATGTTATTGCTCAGTTAATTTTTTTATTGATATCGAGAAAAAGTTTTTACATTACATTAAATTAAAATCATGACATCATATGTATACGTATTAACCTGAAGTTTTTGTTTCCTGGTTTGGCAACAAAAAATTATTTAGAATCGGTTGTTTCTTGGAAAGAATGAACTGATTTCATTCATACTGAAATGTTTTCATACATTTTCTTTTCAGATGTACATAAAACTCATAAATTTTGCTTCAGCTGCAGCCTGCTAGTAATTTATTAAAAGTAGCTTTCGTCAGATGAAACCATACATGCAAGCAGTTATTATCGACCACTTGACTAACCAATACAGACATTAAAAATGAAATGATTATCCAATGAAATAGAAGGGAATGATGTTTAATCAAGATAATGCCAAGCACCATCTGCACTTCAAACAATATATAACTCCCAGAGTTTGGTTGGGAAATTCTCACTTCCTTCTATATTCTTCTGCCACTGCTTCAATGGATTACAGTTTATTTTAATATTTAAAGAACCATTTAAATAGTAAACAGTATGCAGTTGTCAGGAAGTCAAACTCTTGTCTCACAGAATGTTTTAAAAATAACAAATAAATGTTTATAAAAATGCTATTAGTAAGTTATAGATAGATGGAAGGATGTTATAGGTAATGCAGGAAATCAGATTATTAATTCAGGATACTGTTAGCACACAAAAACTATTCTTCCTTTTTAATTTGAAAAATGAAAAATATTTCAGGCAAATAAAAAACGAATTTTTATACTAACATCAATTTACATCTTGTTACTTATTCAAAAAGTAATTTTTTAATATCAGAATTACAAATAAAATTCAATAGTAATTTAATAAACAACTTACAATTTGAGTACTTGTAACATTTGGTGGAGGACCTTGCTGTACTTGTTGCCTGTATTTTTGTAATAACTGAACATTTGGAGCAAGCATTTGTGGTCGTTGCTGAACTTGCTGAGATGCCAAAACCCCAGGACCCAAAACTAATGTATCAAAAAAGAATTATGAAGAAACAAATTTAGAGCAACGTGGATTTAGTATTCTTAACAATATTCTATAGCAATTTGGGGGAAGGGTGAGACATAACAATTGTTATAGTTATCTGTATACACTCACTTCCAACAGTTAAGCACGAAGACGTAAAATGCGAAAAAATCAACAAATACTGCTTTGATTGACACAAAATTCGGCAGGAAAGTAGCATATATATTTATGCATAAAACAAAATCAATAATTACATACAGAAATGAAAACAATATTAAATTTTTGTAAGTTATCAGATAATGACATACTGGAGACTTAAACAGAATTATGTATAAAGTGAAAATAAACAGCATAAAATGAAAAAAAAGGACATTAATAGGGTATGTGATCCCCCCTCATCTGTATACAAAGTTTACACCTTGTGACCATGCTTTCAATTAGGTGGTCAACCACCGCAGAATGAAGCAATCCCCATTCTTGTTGTAGAGCAGTTTCCAGCTCAATAAGAGTGGCTGCAGGTGGGAAACGTGAAGATACACCACGGCCAAGAGCATCCCAAAGATTTTCAATGGGATTAAGTACAGGCAAATATGCTGGACAAACCATACATGCAATCCCTTCACTCTCCAGGTAGTCATCAATGATGTCAGCTCTATGGGGACGTGTGTTATTGTCCATTAAAACAAAAGTAGGGCCAACTGCTGCAGCGTACAATAGTAATCTCACAATGGGTTCTAGGACTTCATCTCGATACCGGACAGCCATCAAAGAACCCCGTTTAAAGATGTGCAGGTCGGTGTGGTATCCTAATGAAATCCCTGCCCACACCATAATGCTTCCGTCTCGGAATGCGTGATGTTCGGTGATGTTTAGGGACTGATTGCTTGTTCGTTGTTCACGCCATATCCTTATACGCTTGTCATCTGGCTCCAGAGCAAATCTTGACTCATCAGTAAACATGACATTGCCCCAGTCAGACACATTCCAACTGACATGTTCCTGGCACCACTGTAATCGTGCCCCTCTTGATTGGACGGATAGAGGAACACAAACTCGAGGTACCCGGGCGTACAGTCCACTCATATGCAATCATCGGCGTACAGTAGCTGCAGATATCGCCTTAACAATGGACGCTGTAACCATAGATGTCACACGTGTGGAGGTCGCTCTGCGATTCTGCTTGGCTACAATAGCAATATACCGATCTTCAGCGGGGGTCGTAAACTTTGGGCAACCGGCTACGAGCTTTCAGACAACTGTCTGTGTGGTTTGGAATTGTTTCCATAAACGTGAAATTACAGAATGATGAACGCCGAAGAAAAGAGCAACGTCTGTGATCGACTGTCCTGCTTCAATGCGCCCCATAGCACGCCAGTGCTCAGAATCTTCCATTTGTCTTCTGAAAGTCATAGAAACACGTATATCTTGAAAACAAATTGTACGAAAGTTTTAAACACCTTCTATCAGCACTTACTATCAACTTCTGTAACGCTCCATAAAGCTGGCTTCTTATAAGACTACCTTTTTTTGCATATTTCTTGACATGAAAGCGCGAATGGCTGTTACCTAACATATTTGCATACTTCCACCTACCTCTGCAGCAAATTGCATCCTCTTCATTTCTGATTGGCTTCCGGAAATTAGCATTTTCCTCTCCGTGCTTTTGGAAGTGAGTGTATTTACTGAATTATAAAGTTAAATATTGACAGTTAAAATCAGGTATTGCTGTTTCACTTGTATTTTAGTTTTATTTGTATTTTATTTGCTCTGTTATTCGATCTATGATATGTTACTTAACACCATTTATTGATAATAATGCATTTTTAATTAACTACTTCTCTTCATTTATGAGATGACTTAACTACAGAGTTGCATTTTCTAAAATTACAGCTTAAATTTTGTCAACATCAATACCATAGGACAGTTATTAGATTTAAATTTTGCATGTTATCACTGAAAATTAACTTCCATGGTGGCACTGTATCTCATCTGTTATCAGATTGTCATTCAAGTTGTACGAGGCTTTGAAAACAATGTGAAAAGATCACAAAACATTAATCTTTTAGTTATATTTTACATTGAAGTAAATGAAAAGCGTACACTGAATGCCCAATGATTTGTATAATTTCTTTGCCTTCACTTAGAATATTTAAATATAAATTAACTTACTCCATTTACTTGAGGGAAAAAAAAAAAAAAAAACATAATCAAAATTATAAATTAATATCATACTCAAATTACAAAATTCTACATGGTATTATATATATATATATATATATATATATATAAACGAACAGGTCATATAAATACTATATTTCACACGTGAGAATGTGAGTTCGTTGCACTGTGAAAAGTTGACAGCATTTAAAGTCACCAAATTCTGAACACACGTAACCAATTTTGCAATAGATCATGAGCATCTCACTCTTTTTACCCATGTTTCTAAGAGTAAAAGGATAACATATCAGAATGACTAAACATAGAAAACATACTGAACCAAATTTTTAAGATCTGAGTGATAAAGAAATCATCTGCAACATAGACCTGAAGAACAATAAAGACTGCAGCAATGCTGATGAAATGGATAATTAGCAATACAGTCAATCTTGCCAAATGCATGGGCTGCATCATTAACACATTGTGCATATAGCAAAACTGCAATCTGCAGAGTTAAAATATGTGTTAGGTATGATTCAGTTAAAGAAAGTGAATAATTTAAACTAACCTAAATACTGCTGTAATTAAAAGGAAAAACCAAAATACATAAGTCAATTGAAAGGAATTTTATAACTGCTTAATACTTTTTTATACTTTTTTAATGATACAATTATTTCTAAAAGCTTGTAGTATTTGCTTGGAACAATGATTAGTGCAACTTGTTAAAAGTTTTGTGATAAGCAGTATAAAGTTTTTTAACGTCTCTAACGTCTTTTCTCTTTACTTCACTGCAAAATCAGAAAGTTCCTATGCCTTTTTAAAAAAAAATTTTAACTTCTTGTACATTAAAGATGCTTTATCTTCTTTTACATTATCACTGCTTTCACTTTCAACTAGCGATCGTCATTCTTCACTTGTCATTTCTCAGTTAATTCTTTGATTTCTCTTCATTCCATATCTGAAAATCTTTCACCACCAATTTTGTGATTTGTACGATGTCTTTGCCTTCATTTTCAATCAAAGAAAAATCCTTTAAAATTGCTAACAGCTTCTGGCTAGAGCTGATGCAAGCAAGCACTCAATAATGAATGAATGTTGAACCACATATGAATGAAATTCTAACAACGGGTAAGTTAAATGGAAACCATTAAGATATGCAAATATGTGAAATTGCTTTACACAAATTTGCACTCAGCAAGGGTTTACTGTACTGAATTCTCAGTTTATTTTGATGATGGCAAAGCACACATGGGTTGTAAGCCCTAAAAAGAAAAATACGTTTGTGGAAAATTTTTTTAAAAGAAATTGGCTCACATTTACATTAGAGTATCTGGGGAAAACTATAAAAATACTATATACAGCTAGCCCTTCACAAGGATTTGAATCCACGATGAACTAATAAGGTTCAGTTGTTTTACCGCTTGGCCATTAGTAGGTACTAAAGCTTGATTTTCAAAGTTTTCTTCCTCCCTTCTACCTGAGTAATATCTGGCATGATAATGTTATAGGACTATCACAAATAAGCCTAAAATACTTTTTTTTTTATGAAAATTTTAATGTTTCATAAAAATGCATGTAAACATTTGATAAAACTTTACAATGTGTGTAAATTTTGATGAAGTTTGTTTACTTTCCAATCTTTTTTCACGACTATTTTTAATGCAAAATAAAATGCTGCACAGTTTATTTGAACTGAAGAAAGAAACTGAAATTTTATCTTGTAATAAATAAAAGTGTTCGTTGAAATGTTAATAATAGTACTGTATACTTATTTTTAAAATACGAAGTGAATAATTTCAGAAAACCTCACTGTAAGAAAAATTGGCATAATTTAAAATTTAGTATATTAACCAGTCCAGATTACTTCAAATATGCAAGATACTATTGTTATTTTATATTCTGTGCCGCTCGGCTGCATATGAATGAAAATGAAATGAAATTTTTATACTTTTTTATTTCCAGAGACACTAATTTTCATTGCACAGTTTAAAATTTTATATCATCATTCAAAAGACACATGATCCACCTCAGTATTTTAAAAATTGATTTTTTTCATGGTTTTTTTAAAGATCCCAAAATATGAAAAATTGTCGAAAGTACTTTTTAAATGCAAATTATTAAAAAACTAATGGTTTCAGAAAAAATATATACACTTTAATGAACAGTTTCTGGCCTGTTAAAAAATTAATTTTTTCATAACTTTTTAAAATTAAAATTACTTGAATATCTTTTAATCAATTCTTTGCTGTGGCAGATAGCCAATCTTGCTATCTCAAGAGAGGAGTATTTGCATGTGACGTGATTTTAAATGAAAAATTAAAATGTTACAAAAATCTGCTGTCATTGCAGACTTCTATGTTCAGGATTTGGCAACATTATGCTCTGTTTCCATGCAAATTTACAAACAGATAAAAGGTTGGCCATATAGTAGGTGGCAAAATATTGCATAAAATGTATATTTCACTAAAATTTGGATTTTTGATAGCACAAAAAAAAATTTATATTAAGAATAATCAAGCTTGTTTCATACTGCCTAAGAACAAAAATATAATAACTGGGCATTATATTTGTGAAATTTTGAATGTATTTTTTAGTACACTTGTCATAACAACTCTCAGCTACAGTTCTGATGTTATTTTAGAAAAAGGGAAAAATATTTATATTACTCCTCTCATCTGAATTATAATTTTAAAAAAATGTACATTAATTTTTAATGTAAAAATCTTACATCGGGTTTGCTGCATAACCATTGGGCTCATGCCAGGAGGATTGATGGATGATGTCACAACATTTGGACCAGTAGCTGGATTAATTCCTGGTCCTAACGACTGTACTTGTATTTGAGGCTGTGGCTGTGGTGGTGTTGGCATCTGACTTATAGTGCCTCCAGAACCTAGAAGAGAGGCAGTCATCTGTGTTTGCCCAGGCTGGGGCTGAATTGTAACAGTCCCTCCACTGCCTTGTCCAGCCATGCTTCTGAGCGCACTCATAGGATCAGATACTTGACCTCCTACACCAACCCCAGCTGTTGAGGCCATGTTTCCAGATGGTACAGCACCAGTCATAGTTTTTTTAGAATCTAGAAAATAAAATATAAAATCTATTGAATTTCATTAAAAAACAAAAAGAATAAAAAATTTAATATCAAAGACAGCCAGAGAAAATCATCTTTTCAATTTACATACAAGTACTTTCCTGTACCACTCTCTGCACTTTTAAGCAACACAATTTCAACTAACACTGTTTTCAGAACTGCTTAAATTATTTTTATCCCCTGATGTGGCTGACTACAGCATCTGTCTATTAAAATTTAATAACAATAAAGAATTCAGAGATTTCAGATGAGACACCCAGTAATTAAAAGGAGCAAATTAATTTGTTCCCTTTTGTTTTGCCTTCTGAAAGTTTAAAGATCTTTCAGAAGGATCTTCAGGTATTAGCATGACAAAATAGATCACTGACACAGTAAGACTGCCACGAAGATGATCAAATCAGCTTCAATATTATGTTATAACTTGTGATGCTTCAAAATAATACCTAACATGACTTAAATGACATGAAGGTAAGACAGTTAAAAGACAAACACTACATTTTGAAAATACCATGGATGATTTGAGGTCAAGAAAAGGTCAAATCTATTAAAAAAAAAAAAAAAAGGCTTAATATTTATTTGTTTACTTTATTAAAAATTTCTTTCAACGCACGCATGCGTAAAGCATACATTACGCATAGTCGAAATTAGAAAATTGCAACCAGAAAACTATTTGATGTGTATTCGTGATATTTATAATGACGAGGAATTTGATTTAAATCATATCAAAGACGGAGTACATCGAGATGAAATACTACATTTAGTAAGGAATTATAAGCCGAATAAAATAAAAACATCTGCCCTGAAGATAAGGATAGTGCTGATAGATCAACTTCCAGTTCATTGCGTGCCGCGGCTGCCCCCCCCCCCACAGAGCAGCGTGAAATTAATAAACAGATTTCGGAATGGTTAGAGAAAAAAAGGATACGCCTTTATCCATTTTTTGCAGCAATTCCAATTTTGTTTGATGGTCATCGAAACATGCTTTCGCTTTGTAGAGCCTTTGGCAGCTCCAGAATCGGAAATTCTTTTTGACATAATCGAAAGTTCAAGCTTACTTTTATAAAATTGTTCTAACAGTCTGCAAAAAATAATAAGCTGGATCCAATTAGAAGATTAAGGAACAATGCAATCTGCAACATTAACTGAAATAGATAATTAGCTTAGCTTATACCATCCGTTATACATTAAACGTGCCTGCGTAAAGGTATTATGCACATGCGTACACGCACATGCATAAAGGTATTATGCGCATGCATGAACGCATTACGCATTGACGCATGCGCAGAAAGTTTGTAGCTTTGAGGTCCGGATTATAGATCATTCTGGATTATGGGTGTCCGGATTAAAGACTTTTAACTGTACTACCATTCAGTAACAACAAAGAATTTAAAAACAAATTTGAATGCCAAAGTTAATTTAGTGGCTATGAAAATATTACAATTTTAAGGTAGATCATGGGATCCCAAAGATTCTTGTCACACTTCCCTACCGTCAAAAATGAGAATTCCTACACCCCACTTCTGCAATAATAATATTACCTACCTATAATGATAGTAAGCACAAAAAACATATCTTATAAAAGTTGCACTTTAAAAATATGCTGTTCACACACAATTGGTAAGGAAAAAAAAAAAAAATCATTGAGATGGATAAGCTTGCATATTTTTGGTAAGATTTTCAATTCTGTGTTTAAAAGGGGCACAAGACACTTCGGGCACGTCGAAATGATCATAAAAATCCTCAAACTCGAAACACAAAAACTCATATTATATGATTAAAAGGTTATATTTTTTTAAAAATTTATACCTTAAATAAATAGATATGCCTTATTATACTGTATATGAAATGAACATTGTAAATAAATAAATAATTTGTAAATTTAAAAATGTACATAAGAGATATGTAAATAAAAATTGACAAATGTTGCGTGCATCATAAATTTGAAAATATTGCACATAGAAAACAATTTTTGGTAAAAATGTATTCGAAATACATTAAACCACTAATGTAAAACCAAAATATATTATAAAATGAATCTTAAATTTGGAAAATTAAGAAAACATTTTTAAAATTTAAAAATATGTAATTTTTTATCATTTTTTGAAGGTATTTTTTTATATGTACATATATTGACATATGTAATTTTTTTTGCTTTAGCATGCAGAGTAACAACAGTAGCATACACAGTTCAATTTTTATAGGCGTAACTTCAACTATGTAGTTACTCTATTACACCATCATAACCAAATAAAAAAAGTATCCAGTATATTATTATTTTCTACTTTTACTGTAGTAGATCCTACAGCCCACTTCTGCAAACAAAGCTTTAAGATTTCACCATAGTTCTTGGATATTAACATCTGAGTCATTTACACCTCGCTGAATCCTCCTTAAACGAGTTTTCTGGCAGCTTTCCTTAAACGAGCAAGACTGGGCTAGATTATTTAATTTAGTTAAAGCACACGACCAGGACATACCTGCTCAAGGTGGAGGCTCTGGGACAACATATAATGGGGTTTCCTTCTTTGTTGTTTCTTCCAACTCAACGTCTTTTTTCTTAGTTACAGTTGATAATTTTTATTGATTAAAATAGCTTTATAACTTTAATCAAATCAAAAATATTTCGATAAATGTCTTGTTGCTGTTTGCTACTAAATGTTATTTTTGATTCCTATTTAATCTTCTTAAATTAAAAAAATGAAACTTATGCAATATAAATGTTTGCCAACAAATTAATTAGGATACTTTATTTTTACACTCGGATTACAAAACTCTTTGTTTTTCTAACTGTTAAGAAACAAATTCATTAATTATTTCATCAAAATTAATTTTTATTAATGTTATTTATCAAGGTAATAAGGGCTCGATTACTTTCAGTTGAGAGCAAAGTTATTCTGGTGAGCCTTTCCTGTCACATACTGCTTTTCAAATGTTTTTTTAAAAATTAACTTCAGTTTTGAGAACGATTGTTCAGCCTTAGCTACAATCACACGAACCATTAAGCACCCGATGTCATACGTAAGAAAAACTCGATGGAAATTGTGATTTATCATCAATAATTCTTTTAATCCTTTGATACAATCAATTTTTTAAGCTCCTCTTTATCCACAACTTAAGGTGGCTTGGATGGACAAATTGATCACATATTCACTGGAAACTTGTGTATAAAATCAACAGCTTTGTCATTAAGCACTTCATTTGTTTTCATAAGAAAATCGAGTTGAGTAACTTAGTAAGTATCAAGGACATTCTTCATATTGTGGAAATGATGAGGAAGCTGGGTGCTAACCAGTCTTGTCATCATTCCTCTGGGATTGAGTTTAAGATTCAAAACTAATTACTTGAAGTTAAATTCAGTGAGTTAAGCTGACTCTGCAGATTTTCACTTCTTTTCTTGCCTTTTGTATGCGCATTTGATGTTTACTTATGTTCCTACAAAATAGGTCTGCTGGCTCCAGATGCTTTAGATTGGTTTCTTCTGGAAAAAGAACCCAGAAAGTTCGCTGATGAAGACCACTAGTACAGTTGAACTAATCTGTTGTAGCAGAAGTCAAAGAAACTAGGATGTGATAATACAACAATCCTCGAAATAGTCATTGTAAACCATACAGGCAGGCAGATCACTACCTATAATCACTGGAAACCCATCATGAGAGATAATCGTTAATCCACTCTCTTGATAAGAAAAAGTAAATACACTACCTTCGCACTGTGATGCACCTTTTTATACCTAATGTTTTTCTAGGACACCTGATTGCAGGACTCTACAAGAACATTGTCGTAAGTACCACCTTTTTCTGTCATGCTTTCTGGTAAACCCTAGTTTCGGATAGAAGCCTTTCATATAAGGTGGCCTACTGGGCATCTGGTAACAGGGTTGACATAATCTGGTTAGTCATCAATACATTTTGAAGGTATTTTTTATTTAATTAGAATTTAACTAATTAGATAAATAATTTCTCTGGTTCAAAAGTGAAAACATAAATATTGTTAGCAAAGTTTAATTCATTGATTTTTTTAAATAACGTCTACAATAAAAAATAAAATTAAAAGATTTTTCTCCTGATTCAGCCCCTCCCACCCCCAGGTTGGAATCAGAGGCACTGCTTCGGTGGTAGTTAGGGCGCTGTACATGAGAGTTAACAGTCTAAGTTACAACCTGATTCTGACTAGAGGCCCCCAAGGATAGAGACTGAGGATTTTGTAACTTTCTTCATCTACCAGCACAAATATATCCATGCTTAACTTAAAGTTTAAACATGGACTCAGTGCAGGAATCCTTCAGCCTGCACTTATTAGTATATATCATACAGAGCAACAAATGTGCTTCACAGACTATCAGAGATCAAACAAAAGTGCGGAAAATTCAAGCAACGCTAGTATATTTAATTTATTATGCCATATGGCAGTGAGAGACAGGCAGTGAACTCCACATTAAAGATGCTATAGACAGACGTTTGAAGAGAATTCAGTACGTTGGGCCTGAAAAAGTTCAACTGAATATTTGTTTTTTGCCGTAACACAACTCCACACTCATCAAACAGTGTCCAAGAAATAAAAATGTCCCCGCAATTCTCAACCCTTTTATTAATAAGATTCGGAATCATCTGTAGACTACTTTCGCTTCCCTAAAGTATATCTCAACTCGAAAGTTATTATTTTAATAAGACTGAAGAATTAAAAAAACATTGCAACAAGAGATTTACACAGTATTTCAAAAGATGAGTTCCACAGAGGAATCAAACTCTGTATGAATATGACAAGCGTCGAAAAGACTTAAAGAATCATATATAGAAAGCTAAAAAAGTAAGAGTATTGTTTTGTTCAACTTTTGATGTACAAACTCAATCTCAAAATTCTGTAGAAGCACTGTGTATAACTTTGTTTTTTTACGACATTACTAAGCATGCCCAGAAGAAATACACTACTACATTTTCTGAGAACGTCAAATACAATTTAATGAAATCAATGAACAACTAAAATAC